TGATATATATATATAATTATTCATATATATATATATAAATCCTATATAATAAGTGAGATCTGACGATGTTAGTGGTATTCCTGCATTAGCTGCGTGCACATGTAAAAATGAATCCGATTTTGGAAACTTATCCTAAATTACAGGACAAAACTACTGAACAACATAACATCTTTAAATTATATAAAAAGTTCACAATCACATTTCAAGATAGAAAACTACAGAAGATATAGATCTATTCTTCAATTATTCAGATTTTTCCTGTGCGTTGCTTGTTAAGTGTAATATTCCTCTGCTATTTTTAACTGTTCTTTAAATTGTTTAATTATATCATTATAATTTATTGGTAATTGCCTGCATTTCCTAGGAGAGCCTAACGTATGCTAAAGACACGGCCGAGGTGGAGACTTACATAAAGAAACAACAGGACGAAATAGACAGCATGATATTCATGTTGAAGGATGCTCAGGAATCGGAGATATGGCAAAGTGTGCTTTAATTCTCTTGTCGAAATGACTAGATCAAAAATAATAATGCACATTCGTCGCTGACATTGGCACAAGGTGTATACAGCGGTACTAGTAGGCCTACTCTAGTTTGATGTTCGTTCTCATTGCACTATTTAGACTCACTAATTCTTGTGCGACCATGTTCACTATTAACTGTTAATTAAGTTTTTTGCCCTAGCTTTATGTGAAGGGGCGTGGAAAGTTCTTGACAATAAAACTAAGCCTTAGTGAGCATGTGATATCACAGATCTGTCTGTGCAGGGCAAAGTTTGACCAGAAAAGATGATGGTTTGGTCAGGCAACACAAGGAGTGGCACATAGAGCTCATGCAAGTGAGGAAATTGGCAGCGGAAAAGAAAGCCCACTTTGAGCGCCATCGAAAAAAGGGTATACATGACCATGTAGCTCCTTCTAAAATAGTTGTAGCACTTCAAGCAACATCGTTCAGTCTGTCCCTCAATACTCGGTGTGTATTTGTATATGGTTTAAATATGTATCCATATAATCAGGAGTCTATAATATAGATTATATATTATATAATCTCTATAGATCAATGGAGTTAATAAAGACAAATGTCTTTTGTCTTAAGACATTTGTCTTTATTAACTCCTGATATATATATATATTAACAGGATGAAAAGAGTAAACATCAGTACTTCTCAGGATATGTAATTAGCTTAAGAAAACACCATAATTATACAATATAGTTTTTGACACATGCAATCAACGTTTATCTGTTGTTTTTCACTACATTGGTATTATAAACAAACATCACAGGTAAGTAGTATGAGGTGTACCTGCTCCAGGCAGGACTGTATCTGCTGGTAGGTTCTTTGAATTCTCTCAGCTTCCTGGAGCTTTAGCTGAATCTTGTCCTGCCTGTTTTCCACTTCTTTGAGTTTCTTGAGCACAAAAATAAAAGACTGTGTTAATTGGAAACAAACATGACAGTCATTTCCACCTAAAAGCATTTGGACTACATTCCAGTGCAACTAATGTGAAGTAAGCCAGAAGAACCCCAGACACAATATTAAATCTATAAGTAAAGCTGAGAGGGTCTATGTCACCTGGGGTACTGCCGGAACGTACCCTAAGTACGGTCCTGTATACCGGAACGTACCCTGGTACTATCTAATATGCCGGACCGTACATCGCCTACTCCACTAACGAGTCTATAGGGAATCGCCTACGCCTACTCCCTAAACCTAATCCTAACCCTAACCCTAATCCTAACCCTAAACCTAACCCTAATCCTAACCCTAAACCTAACCCTAACCATATCAAAGTGACCAGGGTACGTTCCGGTATACCGGACCGTACCCAGGGTACGTTCCGGCAGTACCCTGGGGGACATAGACCCTATGAGCATAAGTAAACATTACATTATTATAGCTGATGACAGGTATAAATTGGTGCCAGATGTATAATTTAAACTGATTAACCTGCTTAATCTACTATTTATAACATCAGAAATACATAGTTATTACTGTCTATATTATTACACTGTCATTAATCACCAAAAAACCTAATAATTGCTTGATAGTTTTGTCTCTTTTATTATTATATATAACGTGATTCTACCACCAGCGTGCAGAGACGCGTGCATCAGCATATTTACATGTCCCAGAAGATGCTATGTGTTAACAGTTTAACAACTGCATCGTGTTACCAGGAGTAAACGATATCTATTATATTTGGTATCAAGTACTCCTGACACTATTTATCTATCAAGAGCCTAAATAGAAATTCATGGACTATTGAATCTATCCTACTACTAATCAATATTACTACTATATACTATCACTACTTTATTATTAGCATCGTCATCATCGTCATCATCATCATCATCATTATTATGAATAGCAGTAGTAGTCGTAATTATTACTGTCACTATAGAATATTCTCATACCGTGGTATCCTTGCTCTCGATCTTTTCGGCTGCACTGATATCTTTTACCTCGCGTTGCATCTCGCGGTAACGAGTCTGCAGTTCGTTAAGCTTCTTCTTCTTCACCGCAGACATGTGGATGAGAGCATTCAGCTTCTTTCTGCTATCGCAAACCTTCTCATCCACAGCTGTTATGGCTGCCTATGACACGAGCGATAAAAACCAGAGTAAAGCATTCTGTGACAAGAGTGTTAAAACCATGAACGAGGCAAATGTCCATAAATTGAATAAACGATTAACGATTGAATAATTAATTTATTATTTATTATAAATCGATTAACATTATTTAAACGATGGAAATTTCTTATGGTAAGTTTTGTTCAGTTGGCTTATGTAGGTGCTTCAGAAGATATCTACCTTTCCTGTCTTTCTCTTCATGCCAGCGCCATCTGAGTACCGGTTTTTAAATGCGCTTTTGATTACCTCCTCATCTCCCTAATAAAAACAACAAAAATCCCATGCATATGCATTTTAAGCAATAGTTGATTAACTATACTAAATAAGGGCAATTAATTTATCTGACATACGTCATACTAATGAGTAATGGCACCAGACAATTTCTTTTTAATTACTTCAATGTTCATGTATATACATTTATACATGAAATCAAGAGCTAATAATACCTAGAGTGTACAACGGAAAAACGGGAAAATAGTGCTATTTCACGACAACATTATTCTACTTTGCCTGCGAGTCTATAATAATTTCATGGTATTGCATTAAGCAGAATTCTTTGCTCTCTAAAACAAGACCAACCGCTTGTCAATACGATACTCCTAGGCGGAGAGATCGGCTCCTAATCCTCCCCACCCTCAG